TTTTTTGGTTAGTATGTTAATTGAAAGGAATACCTTTTAATGTAACTCTGATGAGATGGAGTTAATTATCCTTTTCAATGGCTTGAGATAATATTATTTCTATTTCTCAGCATATTCTATAGTGACTATTTATTGTATACCTTTTTATAGTCTCAACACCCATTACACTAAATACATTTTTAAAAATGTATCTTTCACTGAATATCTTGGTGGGTAAGAAGAATTTCCTTTGCTTTACACGTAGGTTTTTTGTATTTTTTCCTAGTTATGTATATTTTTATATTTATTTTCAATGAAAGGATATTGATGCTGTCTTTACATAGTTGCAGTCAACACAGATTTTGCTAACAGAATTATTGTGGTTGGTTTAAAATGACAGATAACTTCAATGGCAAGGAACTGTCTGGAAACTATCTAGACTGAAGTAGTTTAAACTGAACATTTAATATATAGTGTTTGCTGGTTACAAAACTAGGTAGATGATGACTTTTGTTTAAACATCTTGATAACTTGGTTTTTGTAATTTGGTGATCTTATATCCTGGCTACTTGGGTTCAACTCTAACAGGAAATCTTTCTTGGTTTACTGCTATGTGCTAAAATTCTGTTAGGATGCAAAGATGAGTTTTCTCTCTTATGCTCTTTTGTTACTCTTTACATCTTTTTCCTGAGGAATAGGTGAGAGGATTAAAGAAGTTTGACTTAGATGGCACTGAATTTATATTTATTTAGGTGGAATTGAATCCCTTACATTGGTGCGTGATTTCACCAGATCTAAAAGTTTGGCCTTGCTAAAAGTATTTTTGCTATTCTCCTCCTTAACTCAGGATTTCCACTAGCCATAATTTGATATTTACCAAAGAATTTTGTCTACATGAATTTAGTTGTAGATGGCATAGGATCTAGGTGGTGCCCAGGATGACATGTGTTTGCCATAATAGGACTGCTAGTCCTAAAAATTTTCATTTATTTAATGATTAAGTATTTTGATATATACTGAGTATCCAGTCTTTTAGACACTATTAATAAGTGCTGGGAATAAAAAGAGGGTAGAACACATCATTTTCTTGGAGAGCCCTGTAAAGAACGACAGAATAAGAACTACACTTTGCTCTTAATTCATACTATTTTGGACCTTCATAGAGGTCTTAAGACATGATACCTGGTTCATACCTGGGTTCGAATCCCAGCTCTACTTCTCTCTGGCTATATGACCTTGGGCAAGTTATTTAACTCCTGTAAGACTCAGCTTCTTAATGTATAAAGTAACAATAAAAATAGAATTTACATCACAGATATGTTGGAGGATGAGTGACATCATCTATGTAAAGTGCTTTATAAAATGCTTTGTACAAAGTAAGTAATAAAATGTTTATCATTATCATCATCATCAGTAGTAGTATTCAAAACCTTGAACCTGAAAATAAAATCACATAAAATCTTAGGCCCAAGTCCAATAATTACTAAACATCTCTTGAAACTGGCATGGGACAGTGTGTAGGTCCTTCTCCACTGAAGCACTTTGGTGGAACCCTTGGATTTCTGTGGAATGATGTCCTTTGAAAAGCATTTAGATTCTCTTATGCTACTGATTAAGTAGCTGAGGCTCAGATGGGTTAAGTATCTTGTTCTGGCTTATAAAGCTATTTTGTGGCAGAAATGGGATTAAAATCAGTCCTTTCTGAAACCCAATAGAATAGACTGATTGCATAAATTAAGAAAAACTTGATGTATTAAAAATAGCTCAGTTTTACCTTTCAGAAAACATGTTTTTGCAATAAAGCTCTAAAAATTTAGCTAAATATATTCTCTATATCCAATATTTTTAAAAATCCAGTTTACAAATTTATTAAATAGTGCTTTGGTCTGGCTTTTTTAGTCAGCATAACTGTTTTGAGATTTATCCATGTTGACTCGTGTATCAAAAGTTTATTCTTTGTTTTCAGTGCTGAGTAGCGTTCCATTGTATGGCTATATCATGTTGAGGTCTGCTTGAGTTGTTTCCAGTTTTCGGCTATTACAAATAATGCTGCTATGAACATTTATAAACAGGTCTTTTTATGTCAGTTTTTTTTTTTTTTTTTTTAAAGATGACCGGTAAGGGGATCTTAACCCTTGACTTGGTGTTGTCGGCACCACGCTCACCCAGTGAGCGAACCGGCCATTCCTATATGGGATCCGAACCCGTGGCCTTGGTGTTATTAGCACCGCACTCTCCCAAGTGAACCACAGGCCGGCCCCCAGGTCTTTTTATGGATATATGCTTTAATTTCTCCTGGATGAGTACTTAGGATTGGAATGGCTGGGTCATATGATAGGTATACATTTAACTCTTTAAGGAACTGCTACATTCTTTTCCAAAGTGGCTGTTTTATACTGCCACTATCAGTTTATGAGAGTTTCAGTTGTTTCACATCCTTGCCAACATTTGGTATGGTCACAGTTTTTAAGTTTTAGGCATTTTATAGGTGTGCAGTGGTATCTTATGGTTTTAATTTGTTTCCCTAATGACTAACGATGTTGAGCATTTTCTTACATGCTATTTGCCATCAATATATCTTTTTTGGTTAAATGTCTATTCAAATCTTTTGCCCAGTTTTATGCTGGGTTGTTTTCTTTATTATTGAATTTTGAGAGTTCTTTATATATTCTAGATAAAAGTCCATTATAAAATATATAATTTACAAGGATTTTCTTATGGTCTGTGGTGTCTTCATTCTCTTAACAATGTCTTTCAACAGAAGTTGTTACTGATTTTGATGAAATTCAATTTATCAATTTTTTCCTAGTGTAGATTGTATTTTTGGTGTCTGTATAGCTAAGAAATCTTTGTTTAAACCAAGCTCACAAAGATTTTCTCCTGTTTTCTTCTAAAAGTTTTATAGGTTTAGGATTTGCATTTGAGCTTATGATCCATTTTGAGTTACTTTTTTTTATATGAGTAAGAGGTATTAGTAACTTTTTTCTTTTTAATATGGATGTTCAATTGTTTCATTGTTCATTTGTTGAAAAGACAGTTCTTTCTTCATTGAGTGTCCTTTGTATCTTTGTCAAGAATCTATTGACCATATTTGTGTGGGGCTATTTCTGGACTTTCTGTTTTGTTTCATTGCTTGATATGCCTACCCTTTTGTCAATAACGTACCAACTTGATTACTGTAGCTTCATAATAAGTCTTAAAATCAGGTAGTGTGTGTTCTCTTTGTTTTTTTTCCAAAATGATTTTGGCTATTCTGTTTTTTTTGTGTGTGTATTCATAAAAATTGTAAAGTCAGTTTCTTTATATTATAAATTTCTTCTGGGATTGTGATTGGGGTTGTTCGAACCTGTAGATAAATTTTGGGAGGAATGACATCTTAATAATATTGAGTTTTTCAATTCTATAAACACAATGTATCTGTTCATGTTTTTAAGTCTTCTTAGATTACTTTTGTCAATGACTTGTTTTCTGCATATAGATCCTGCACATAGATTTATACCTAGATATATATTTTTGGTGCTTTTGTAAATAGTACTGTTTTTTAAATTTAGATTTGCAATTGTTCATTGCTAGTATATAGAAGCATAATCGTTTTGTGTATTGATCTTGGATCCTGTGGCCTTACTAAACTCACTCACTAGTTCTAGGACCTTGTTTGCAGATTCTTTGCAATTTTCTACATTAGATAATTATGTTGTCTGCATATAGGAACAATTTTATCTCTTCCTTTCCATCTTCTGTGCCTTTTATTTCTTTTTCTTACCTTATTACATTGGCCAGGACTTTTAGCCTGATGTTGGGTAGAAGTGATAAGAGCAGATTTCCTTAACTTGTTTTCAGTAGTAGGGTGAAAGCATTCAGTCTTTCACCATTAAGTATGAAATTGGGTCTAGATTTTTTGTAGATGCCCTATGTCAGGTTAAGGAAGTTCCTTTCTGTTCCTAATTTTCTGAAAGTTTTTATTTGAATGGATGTTGAATTTTGTCAAAAATTTTTTTCTTTTTGTCATCTGATATGATTGTGGTTCTTTTTCTTCTTTAGATTGGTAATATGATCAGTTACATTGGATGTTGAACGAGCCTTACATTCCCAAGATAATCCCCACTTCTTCGTGATATATTATTCTTTTCATAGATTGGTGTATCCAATATTTTGTTGAGGTTTTTTACTTTTATATTCATGAGGGGTAGTGATCTGTAGTTTTATTTTCTTGTATTATCTTTGTCTGGTTCTGTTATCAGAGTAATGCTGGTCTCATAAAATAAGTTGGGGAATGTTTTGTTTTATTTTCTGGAAGAGACTGTGTAGAATTGGTGTTTTTTCTTCCTTAGGTATTTGACAGAATTCAGTAGTGAAACCTTCTGGGCCTGGTGTTCTTTTTGTTGGAAGGTTTTAAATTACTAATTCAATTTATTTAATAAATATAAAACCATTCAGGTTATCTATTTCTTCTTGAGAGAATTTTGGTGGTTTCATCTTTTAAGGAATTGGTTCATTTCAGCCAAGTCTGGGCATCAGGTTGTTTGTAATATTCTCTTAATGTTCTTTTAATGTCTGCAGAGTATGTTTTAATATCCTCTTTCTTTCTTTCCTGATATGGATAATTTATCTGTTTTCTCTTTTTTTTCATCAGACTAGAGGTTTATCACTTTAATTCATCTTTTAAAGACCTGGCCTTTTTTTTTTTTCATTGATGTTTCTCTAATTTTTGGTCTCAAAAGAAAATACTTAATAATTTCTTTCATTCTTCTTTCCATAGGTTTAATTTATTCTTCTCTAGAGTATTGATTTGAGACATTTATTTTCTAATATGCATATTTAATGTTATAAGTTTTATCACTGCTTTAGCTGCCTTATAGATTTTGATATGTTACATTTTTATTTTCCTTCAGTTCAAAATATATCCTAATTTCGCTTGAGATTTTCTTTTTGACCTGTTGGGAGTATTTCGAAGTGTGTTATTCTGTTATTAATTTGTAATTTAGTTCCATTACAGTTAGAAACCATAATTATGTGATTTCATTTCTTTTAAATGTGTTAAGATTTGTTTTATGGTCTAGGATATGGCCTAGCCTGGTGAATATTTTATGTACACTTGAAAAGAATGTGTGTTCTGCTGTTGCTGGGTATTCTGTAAATGTCAATCAGATCAAGTTTATTGTTAGTGTTATTTAACTCTTCTGTATGCTTGTAGATTTTCTGTTTACTTTTTCTATACATTACTGAGAGAGTAGTTTTGAATTCTCCAAGTATAATTATAGATTTGTCTATTTCTTCATTTAATTCTATCAATTTTTACTTCATGTATTTTGAAGTTCTGTTTTAGGTATATTTTCATTTTTATGTTTTCTTGTTGTATTAAATCATTTATCATTATGTAATATTTCTTTTTACGTGGTTATTTTCCTTGTTTTCTTATAATTAGTGTTTGCGTGGTATATCTTTTTCTAATTTTTTTCTTTTATTCTGTTTATTTCTTTGTATTTAAAGTGTGTTTCTTATTGACAGCTTTTTAAAATCCAGTCTGACAATCTTAGTCTTCTAATTGGATTTAACAAATTAAAACCTGTCAAAATGAGAATATTTTGTGACACATGAAAGTTATATGAAAATTGAGTTTTCAGTGTTCATAAATTTTGAATTTTGTTAAAAATAAATCCATGGAAGGCTTTTTACAAGGTGCTTTCTTGTGTAAAATACCTGAATAATATCCTAGATCTTTTCTCTTGGCCCACAAAACCTAAAATATTTATCATATGGCCCTTTACAGAAAAAACTGATGACCCCTTTTATTAGCCTTTTATTTATTTATTTTTTTGTCTTTTTTGTGACCGGCTGCACCGTGCTCAGCCAGTGAGCGCACCGGCTATCCCTATATAGGATCCGAACCCGCGGCGGGAGTACTGCTGTGCTCCCAGCGCCACACTCTCCCGAGCGTGCCACGGGGTCGGCCCAGCCTTTTACTTTTAATGCATTTTTAAAATGTATTTGGATGTAAATGTGCCTATCCTCTTGCTGTTTCTTTTCTCTTTGTCCCTTCTGTTTTTTGTTTCTTTCCCTCCCCTTTTCCTGCCTTGTTTTGGATTCAGTATTTTTTAATGTTTCCTTTTATCTTCATTACTGGCATATTAGCTATATGATTTTGTTTTATTATTTTAGTGGGTGCTCTGGGGTTTATAACCTGAGTTTTTAACAAGTATACATTTTAATAATAACACTTCATATATATTGTAAGAATCTTCTACTTCTTCCCTTGCAGACTTTATGCTTTTGTTGTCATTTGTTTTGCTTATACATATGTTACAAATTCTACAAAATATTGTCTTGTTTTCTTTTTGCTTTAAATAATCTGCTATACTTTGAAGAAACTAAAAAACAAGGCAAAACTCTCTCCCTTTAATTTATAACTTTTGGTGCTTTTCATTTCCCTCTTCTATTATTTTCCTTTAGCCCAAGGAACTTCCTTTAACATTCTTATTTTCTTGTGTAATTTAGAATTTACTCTTATAACCATCCAGAGAATATTTCACTTCAGATCTTGTAATTTTCAGCTCCAGAATTTATTTTGTGTCTTTGCCTGGCTTTTATTTTTCTTCTTGTTCTGTTAGGTGTTTTTCTTTTTTTTTTTGTCTTTTGTCTTTTTTTTTTCCGTGTCCGGCAACGGATTGCAACCCTCAGTGTTGCCCCCGGACCGGGGACCGGCAACGGGATCGCAACCCTCGGCGTTGCTCCCGCGCCTTGCTCAGCCAGTGAGCGGGAACCGGTCTGTATGTGGGATCCGAACCCTCGGGCGGGAGCGCCGCCGCGCTTCCCAAGCGGCGCACTTATCCAGTGCGCCACCGGGCTGGCCCTGTTAGGTGTTTTTCTTTAAAGCCTTAATCATATTTACAATAGTTATCTTATGTTTTTTTTTTTTTTTGACTGGTAAGGGGATCACAACCCTTGGCTTGGTGCTGCCCACGCCTTGCTCAGCCAGTGAGTGCACTGGCCATCCCTGTATGGGATCTGAACCTGCGCCCTCAGCGCTCCCAGCGCCGCACTCTCCCGAGTGAGCCACGGGCCAGCCCTACAATAGTTATTTTAAAGGCCTTTTTAAAAGAACTATTATAATTGTTATTGGTCTGCCAATTTTATCATCTGTCATTTTTGGGTCCGTTTCTGTACTGTTTTATATCTTGGGTTACACAGATATATAACGTACTTATTTCTTCAGACAGTTATTTTTTTAATCTTTTTTTTCTCACAGAACATTGCAAATAACTGTTGCTGCATAAGTGTTTGCTTTATTAGCAAAAGCGTATAGTAACAAACATGCAAATAATAATGATACCAGAGGAGAGGGTCTGGGGAAGTTCGATGGCTGATCTCAGCCCACCTTGTCCTCTACCAGGTTCTTGACTCTGCCACAAGAAAGAATTCAAGAGCAGTCACAATAGAAAGTGAAACAGGTTTAATGTAAAGAATAAGAAATACAGACCTCACAGTGAAAGCACAGCCTAGCTCCAGAGAATGAGTGGCGGCTGCACCAAGGTTAATAAAAAAGTAAGAAATACATACATTACAGACAAAGTGCAGACTGGTTTCAGAGTGAACAGCAGCCTACTAAAGGCAAGTTTAACACAAAAAAGTAAGATATACACACCTCAAAGGTGAAGTATGGGCTGGCTCCAGAGAGAGTGAGCAGCAGCCCTGCTTTCTTCCTGGATTTGACTTTTATAGTTTGGCTATCTATGCATATGCATGCTAATGAATATTTGACTAAGGGGGTGGTTCCCAGTTATGTAGCCTAGTCTTGCACATGCTCAGTTGGTCTTTTTTGAGCGTGCTCATTGGTCAAATTCCACCATATGTACCAAATAGACTTAAAATATTCTAGGTGCTCTCTAGTGCCTCCAATGGGAGGTCATTCAAGGGATAAACTCCTTTTTATTGAGCATGCTTGGCCACTGAGATTGCACAAGTCTGCCTCCTGAGGCTCAATATCCATGTGGTAGTGCCATAAAGTAAGTGCTACAGGCCACCATAGCTTAGGATTCAGAGGTGAGGCTTGAGTCCAAGGGGAGTGGTTGAGACCCAGGGGAATGGCCTGAAACCTGATCCCAGGGGGACTGAGTACCTAATATCTCAATAACAAACAAAACAAACAATTGGAACATATTAATATTCAACCATAAAATGTATTTGTAGTTTCTTATTTGTCCCTTTTGAGATATGGTGCATTAAACTGGTTCAAAAGGGAGAAAAACATGTTTCAATGCCTGAAGAACTCGGTAGATGAAGTAGTTCATTTTGAATGGCTTTAGTTTCTCAACAACAAAAAAATGTTGCATATTTTAATACAATATTTAGGAGCTGGAGTGGGGAGGTTTGAAGTGGCTTTTGTGAATTACTTATTAAAATCCTGTAAGAGGGTCTGGCCCTGTGGCTCACTCAGGAGAGTATGGTGCTAGTAGCGCCGAGGCTGCAGGTTCGGATCCTATATAGGGATGGCCGGTGCACTCACTGGCTGTGCGTGGTGCAGACGACATTGTGCCGAGGGTTGTGATCCCCTTACCGGTCGGGAAAAAAAAAAAAAAATCCTGTAAGAGGAATATAGGTAATGAGAATTTGACCATGCTGCAAGGATCTAGGTCAGGTAAGACATGTATGCTTAATTTTGTCAGCATGGATATGGGTAACAGAGGGCAAGCGTTGGAGATAAGCTGAATGTGGGTTTTAGGTGGGGGCAGAAAGAGAGAACGGGGGTGGGGAGAACGTTATACTATCAGATACACGTAGAACAACCACAGTTGGGCCTTTGGTGCATGCTGTGCTTAGAATTAAAGTGAAAAGGTTTATTTTTTATTTATTTATTTTTTTTCCTTTTTGTCTTTTTTCGTGTCCGGCAACGGATTGCAAACCTCAGTGTTGCGCCCGTACCGGACCAGGACCGGCAACGGGATCACAACCCTCCGTGTCGCACCCGCACCTCGCTCAGCCAGTGAGCGGGAACCGGTCTGTATGTGGGATCCGAACCCTCGGCGGGAGCGCCACCGTGCTCCCAAGCGGCGCACTGCTACAGTGCGCCACCGGGCCAAAGGTTTATTTTTTAAAAAAGAAATTTATTACAGGGGTTGTGGTGAAATTGGGTAAAGCAATCAGAAATCATTAGTCAAAAGTAAGTACTTTGAGGAAAAATTTCCATTGGAACACTTACATAATTCATAGTAGCCAGCAAGCCAGAAAGTAGCAAAATAAGGAGCTTGATTTTTGTTGTGATTGTTATGAGATGTAACATTTTAACATTGTTTAGTTTTGCTTAGGAACTTAGGCTGTGAGTGGAAAAACAATGAGTTTTTCCTCTGCTCTCACACCACAACCAGCACAGAAGACTTCTTTGACCAAGTGTGTGGGGTTTTTCGCCCCCTGCACGCCAAGCGATCAGTTCTACAGTGGACACCTGCTGGGTGCCCTTCAATTCTACTGTCTACCTGGGGACAGCATCAGATCCCACAGGTTAAGGGCTCAGTCCCTAGGACTGTACCCCACTTCCAGTTGTCAGTTGCATGCCCCAGTTGTTCTACTTGTGCTCCTGACAGACTAGCTATCACAGAACTCAGGAAAACACATTTACCAGTTTATTATAAAGGATATTACAAACAATACAGATGAAGAGATTTGTAGGATGAGGTATAGGGGGAGGGGCTTAGAGCCTTCCATGCCCTCTCTGTGTTATGGGAGGAGAGGGTCTGGGGAGGGTGGGGTAGCTGACCTAAACACTGTCCTCTACCAGATTCTTTACTCTGCTTCAGGGAAGAATTCAAGAGCAGAGTTAGAGTAGAAAGTGAAAGCAAGTTTAATGTGAAGAGTGAGGAGTGAGGAATGCACAGGCAGAGTGCGGGCTGACTAGAGAGTGAGTAGCCGCCTCATTTCGCCCTGGATTCCACCTTTTATAGTTGGTTCCAGTTATGTAACTCTTTTGTAATTCTAGCCTGGTGCATGCTCAGTGGTCAAATTCATGCACATACACCAAGTATACTTAAAATATACTCGGTGCTGTCTAATGCTTCCAGTAGAAGGTCATTCAAGGACGAACTCCTTTCTGTTGATAGTGCTCAGCCACTAAAATTGATTAAACTTGTCTCCTGTGGTGTCAGTCTTACCTCGTGCTCGACAATAGCTGCAACATGCAACAATAACTCTCTCCATAGCTTAGGATTCAGAGGTGAGGCTTGAGTCCAAGGGGAGTGGTTGAGACCCAGGGGAATGGCCTGAAACCTGATCCCAGGGGGACTGAGTACCTAATATCTCAATAACAAACAAAACAAACAATTGAAACATATTAATATTCAACCATAAAATGTATTTGTAGTTTCTTATTTGTCCCTTTTGAGATATGGTGCATTAAACTGGTTCAAAAGGGAGAAAAACATGTTTCAATGCCTGAAGAACTCGGTAGATGAAGTAGTTCATTTTGAATGGCTTTAGTTTCTCAACAACAAAAAAATGTTGCATATTTTAATACAATATTTAGGAGCTGGAGTGGGGAGGTTTGAAGTGGCTTTTGTGAATTACTTATTAAAATCCTGTAAGAGGGTCTGGCCCTGTGGCTCACTCAGGAGAGTATGGTGCTAGTAGCGCTGAGGCTGCAGGTTCGGATCCTATATAGGGATGGCCGGTGCACTCACTGGCTGTGCGTGGTGCAGACGACATTGTGCCGAGGGTTGTGATCCCCTTAAGATAATTTCTTTTTTTGTATTTCTTGTACCGGTACCCTCTCCTCTCCTGCCCCTTCTCCTTCCTCTCTTCATTCACTCCAGTCATACTAGCCTCCTTGTTCTTTCTCATATGCTTATCAGTCATGATTTCTGCCTCAGGTCCTCTGTGTATTCTTTTTCCTCCGCCTAAATAATTTTTCCTTTTTCCAGTAGCTTTTTCATTTCTCTCCAGTTTTACCTCAAGAAACATTTTATCATAAGAAACCTTTCTTAATCACATCATGTAACTATTCCTCTCTTTCCCCTTACTGGATCTTTTTTTTTTTTTCTTCATAGCACTTTTCTTTGACTTGATATTATATTTAATTTGTGTATTGTCTGCTTTAGACTGTAATCTCTGTGGGAACAGGTTTTTTTTTTTTTTGTCCTTTTTGAGACTGGCCTCACCGTGCTCAGCCAGTGAGCGCTGTGAGTGCACCAGTCATCCCTATATAGGATCCGAACCCGCGGCGGGAGCACTGCTGCGCTCCCAAGCGCCGCACTCTCCCGAGTGTGCCACGGGCTGGGCCCGGGAACAGGTTCTTTACATTTTTCCCTGTTGTACCTTCAGTGCCTAGAGGAATGTCCAGTCCATAGCAAGATTTTAGTAAATATTTGCCCAATGAACAAATAAGCAGACCAGGTCTAGGAAATTAGGTTGAATGTATCCTGAATCTGGAATATTACCTGAAAGTTAGTTTTTTCAAATTGAGCTTTCTGATTTGCCTCATTTGCTAAAGTTTAGATTGTGGTAAAACTTTAGCTAAGTTCTAAGTATGGAAATAATAGCAATATAAATTTACAAAGTTTTGGTAAAAATGATCTGAGTTTTTTAGAGAAGTGTTTTAAAATAGATTGTTTGTATAATATCTCCTAAAAATGTCAAAATGTCTTTTAATGTTACCTACTTAGTTTCAATTTGCCAACACACCTTGACAGAGACTTAGTGTTTTGAGTTGCCTCCTATTCCTTGTGGTTGTCTCCCACCCCTCATTTTCTCAGTTTGAGATCTTGAAGGGGGTCTTGAATACTTATACCAATCCAGGGCTTAGGATTTGTGCAGGGAAAGTCAGAGAATTATTTGCTTCTATCTACCTTTCTTTTTGGGGGTAAAAGAAGTCTCACTTTTGGGGGTTAGATAAACTTACAGTTGCTGCTCTGACTCTCTAGGGATGGTCTGTGCAATATTCAGCACTGGCATTCCTTTTCCCATAATAAAACAAGACTAGACTTTAAGGGTGGGTGATATAGATTTTACTAAGCAATGTATTCTTGGCTTTGGAGTAAATGAATTGGATCATAGGAAATACAAGAATGAATAAATTGTCAAAAGAAGATGAATTTATGTGTCTGTGTATGTGTATGTAAGATTTGCAGGAATATGAAGATAATTTGTTTTCTTGCATATTAGTAACAGTTTATTTTTGTGATTTTAAGGTAGTTATGTTTGTATATCATATATTGGCATAGTAAAATTATTTGTCTTTATTCTTTTATAGTATTTTATCTCATTTTTCATCACTGTTCTACAGAATCATAGACCAATCCAGCAATGTGGAGAGAGCATCTTTTCCAATCTATAAGGTATTATTCTGTGCACGTGGACATGATGGGACAACAGAGAGCAATTGCTTTGCATTTACAGAGAGTTCCCATGGTTCGGAAGAATTTCAAATACATGTTTTCTCCTGTGAAATTCAAGAGGCAGTAAGTATAATATAGTATAGCAATTTGCTGTAGGGATGAATTAGGGTAATATTTTTGAACTCTAATCTCACTGTCATATAAATAAATACACTATATGAATTTGGAATATATTTCTAAAGACAGAGTTAGTATTTGTAATGGCAAGGAACTGAATATGGAAAGCTACGCCTTATATATCTATGCACTAAAGTGATATTGTAGGTAGGGCTCTCTCATAGCTCAGCAGGTATCAGAAAAATAGCACTTGATGAGCTTTTCTTCCTCCTACCGTGGTAGTAATTGCTTATGCTCGCAAAGGAGGAATATTTTTGCATTTCTCTTTTTATTTTGCCCATGTAGATTGGTCTATGTGATTTAAAAAAGTGCCTGTAACAACACTTATTTCTCTGCTGGGCTGATAGGTGCATATTGCTTTCACTTAGATATTGCACTAAGATTGTTTCAAAGATCTCTGTGGTTTTCACTGGTGATTATTTGTTATGCACGTTCATGTAGAGCTTAGATTTTGCTCTGGAGAACTGGCCTAATTAAAAATACAAATCCTCACATAGAGCAGGGACATCAACTTGTAGTCCTTTGAAGACACCAGTAAGTTCGTCTTAGCAGTTATTAACTGCTCGTTTATTCTCAGACTGGAGAAGTAGTTCAGAATCAAATGGCTGTTAAATAGATGTGGAAATATCCTTCTTTTCTGTATGTACTGAATTCTCCCTACATTAAAAGTAAATTGCACTATTAGAACTTTAGTGCTTGCAACCATTTCAAAGGCATTAATAAATGGATTTGGGGACGGGCCAGTTAGCTCACTTGGGAGAGCATGGTGCTGATAACACCAAGGTCAATGGTTCAGATCCCCATGCTGGCCAGCCACCAAAAATAAATAAATAAATAAATAAAATACAACTGGGCCAGTTAGCTCACTTGGGAGAGCATGGTGCTGATAACACCAAGGTCAGTGGTTCAGATCCCCATGCTGGCCAGCCACCAAAAATAAATAAATAAATAAATAAAATACAACAAATGGGTTTGGATGGGCAAGGTCTCAGATGTAGTTGCTTTTGGAAATGTAGATTGTCAGTAGAAAATGCTAAAAGCAGCAGTCTTCTAGTCTCTGTTTACCATGAAATACGAATAAACCATAGTAGGAGTTTTGAGAGTTTATTTCTGGCCACAAAATGGGAATTCTTAGAAATGTAGATTTCTGTGATTTTGAGACTAAGCATGATGAGTATATCCGTTCTTACCCCCTGGTGATCAGTTTGTTTTATACTGAAATGAACATGGACAGACACACATAAATTAGATTGTAACCATAGAATTTCTCTGCCAGAACCCATGCCTTGTATAAGAAATTCAAGTTTTGTGTTTTGTTTTTTTTAGATAGACCTTAATCTATTTCATCCCAACACGCGCATATAACTATGTATATACTGACTTCTTACTCAAAAAAGGTGTGAAGAACTGAAGAGTGAATGAGTACAAGTGTGCTGCTCATGTGCCTGGTGCATGGTAGACAGTGAATATAAAATATGTTGTAAGAATATGTGTGCGTTTGTGAATGAGGGGGGCTGTTTCTGATCCTTACAAACTCCACTACAGAGGTGGGGAAACAGATGGTAGAGTCCTGGCATTTCATGTTGGCAGCAGTCATTTAACACACCTGTGTGGTTTCTGGATCATTGGAGCTCAACAAACAGCAAGGGAGTGAACTTTGAAGAGCAGGAGAGCCTGCTGCTTGGAGAGATACAAACGCTGCTGGAGGAAATTGAAAGGGACCTTGCTGCGAGCATTCTCCATAGTTGTGATGGTATGAAACTCTCTTTTTGGATTATAGCATCCGCTTGTTTATGAATGGGAGAAATGTTTGTTATTTCTGAGAGTTTTAATAATGGGTAAGCAGTGGAAGAAAACTGTAGGGAATTCTTGGCCTGACCATTTCAGATATAGTATTAAATAGTGTTAATTATATTTCTAGAGAGTATATTTGTTATATTTCAGGTTATGAGAAAGTGATTTCCTTGTATTATTTAATTTTTTTAGAGTACATTTTTGAAAATGTTACATCATGGGGCTTTGATGGCAACATGCATTGTTTGAAGGAGAGATAGGTGACAATGGTCATGAAACCTTATTATGTGACATCATTTCTAAATGAGGAATAACCTAGTATAAATATCTTTTGTCAGGCACTCTGCTAAGAATTAACTTGATGCTCATAACATCCCATGATATAGATGTTATTTATGTCCTTTACAAGTGCCCTTATGTACCTCTTTGCCTGGAGTCCAGGTATATTACTGATACCCTCCTTTTTATTTGCAAAAGTGTTCTGGTTTGGATGATAAATTGTATGGTTACCCTTTGCTTATCCTGAGGCTAAGAGAATGGATGTTAGACCTGGGTTTCAAATTGAAGTCTTTGAATCTGAAGAGCCATTCCGGTTGCTTAAATATTATAAAAAAACAAGTGTGGATTTTTGTCTTTCAATTATGTTTTGCAAAATGATTACTGGCTACATAGCTTATATTCCAGCTACCTTTGTGTTTTACCCAAGCCTTTTACAGACGCTGTCCAACATTTTCCTCTTTTTCCTCAAAAAATAATTATGCTTTTAATTAATCTGAAGTCTTTTAGTTACACTTACTAGTCATCTGATTATCTGGTTACCAGAAGTTTCCTGTTCTGTGGTGAAGGGACAACTTTAGTCCTCAGTATTTGGGTCTCTCTTGATGGGCACAAACAGTTGGCACAGATAGCTTAGAAACCAGGTGACAGACAGTCTTATTATTTAAGTGTGCATTGTGCAGGAATGCCATTAATTTATTTGTTTTCCTTTTTTTTTTTTTTTGCAAGTGCCTGGATGAGATCTGAAGAGGTTTGTCAGTTAAAGGCAAGAAGACAACTCTCAAGCAGGAGTAGCAGCATGGCTGCCACCACCAACTGTCATTGTGATGCTCTCATTTCACTGTAAAAACCATCAAGCAGCAGCACCAACAGTGGTAGAAGGAAAACCCAGTGAGGGTGATAGCTCTCTTGGACACCTGTGACACAAGGATTAGGGGTTCTCACAGAAGGGTTAGGATATATTTGACTTGTTACCCTGGATATTCTTCTGCAGGACCCTTTTGGAATGGATCTCCATAATCTGTGAAGAAGGAGTTGGGCAGTCCATCCAGAAGTATGTTGATGTCAGTGATCTTTGTACAGGGAGAATGATGTGCTAGGCTTCTGCTCAAGAAATGTAGACAAAACAAAATATCAGAAAGCATAGTGAAAAAAGCCAAAGAGGCACCTATTCTTGTTGCATATTTATGGATAGATTACACAAAACTTTTTAAAGATACTTTAAAAGGCTTAGTGGACTCTAAGATTTTAATTCTACTAGCCATTTTATCTATTTTCTTCAAAGCAGGTTTTAATGATGATGTTTGTATGTTTTAACATACTTATCAACACTAGCAACTCTCAGTGTTATATTTTAGAAACAGATTTTATCATCTGGTGTTAAAGGTGTTCAGAGGTATTTCATGATAAATATCAAGGGTATTGCTGGGAAGATCTTTATTCTTAATGCACTGGTTTTTCTTGGTGTTGCCAGTATGCCACTATATGTTAATACAAAGACTTATTCCTTGCTATGCCACTATATGTTAATACAAAGACTTATTCCTTGCATGGGAAAATATTATACTTAAGCAGATATTTATTGAGATTTTAGCTAAATGCCTTATTTTTGAAGACAGTGCAGAAGGTATATTGTGTTTTCCTTAAAGTAAATAGATTTTTATAATTTTTTAAAAGTTTCTTGGATAATATGCCACTTATTTTAGCTCTTTTCAATGAGTATTGTGTTTGAGCAAGTTGTTTTTGAAATTTTAACACATATCTTTCATTTCATGGAATGATTCATCTACATTTATTTCTTGGGTGAACATTTTCTTTGATATATGGTGTTTCTAAAATTGTGGGTTATTTTTCACCAGTATTAATGAAAAAGCTTTATACTGAAAAAACTAGCTGTGATATTTATTTTAAGTAAATATCTTTGTTACTCAATAGTGTTGTTTGTGCTTTTAACATGTAATACATATTTGAGAGTTTGAAAAATATTGAAATGAAGAAAATAAATATTGCTCAGACTTCCACTACAGTTAAGATTTTGGTGTATCTCCATTCCATATATTTACATGTGTCCTCCTCCCTACCTTTTCAAAAACAACAATAAATCCAAACAGATAACATAGTTTTGTGTTTAATTAGTACTTTCTATAGGTACTGTTTTCTGGGCAAAACATTGTTCTGTATTATTTGTCAATAAACCTTTGCCTTCTGGCCCCCCATCCCCCCAAAAAGCCAATTATAGATTATTTGTGTGTGTGCATATCCTTTAATAGTGGGATGTATATCAAAAGTAGCGGCTATGGTATATATTTTTAATTTTCTTTTTTGGTTGTAATTGGCTACCCAGTTTGTTCCAAGAACTGTAGACATTGATGATCATTGTTTCTGAAGTTTACCTTACCAGTCCTTAGAACACCATTTCAGTTTATTCACAGACTTTGGAATTCAAAAATTATTTCAAACTTTTTGGTGGAAATAGCAATTTGTAAGACATGACCAGTATAATTTTTTTTTTTTTTTTTTGGTGGCTGGCCAGTGCAGGGATTTGAGCCCTTGAATTTGGTGTTATCAGCACCATTCTCTAACCAAGTGAGCTAACTGGTCAGCCATGGTCATTATTAAATGCAGTTTGATCACTGTTAATGTACTGTTGTGTCCTTTCTCCAAAAGTGAGAAAGCTGGAGTCTGATTTTTTTTTTTCATCATTCTCTACCCCTGTGTCTTAGTCCCATATACTTAGCCTTTTGAAAAAGAAATCCTTGAAGCTTTGCCATCTACTGTAGAATTTGCCAAGTTCTTTGGCTTTTTTGGTGTGGCCTTCTGATGTGACAAGCTTGCTGATATCTCTGACACAAATAAAATGAAAGAAAAGGAGATGGGAAAGGGAAAAAAATTAGTAAATATTGGGATTTTACTCTACTAAAAGTGCTCAGAAAATATTTGTTGTATGAGTGAGCAAATTTATTATTGTCTTAATTATATAAGATTTGAGGTCTGTGGTTCCTACTAACATTAATCCTTTGCTGCTTTTGTTTTTACTCATTTATGTAAGATTATAATGGGATAACATGGTAAATATTTTTAAAATTTTGTGAATATCGTGTTACAAATAAGGTGCTATGCAGAAGTTGAACTTTAGGTTGTCAGGCAGCATTCCTATGGGGTTGTTAAAAGTGTTAATCAGTTAATTTAGGAAACTATACTTTGGCATTAGAAAGGCAGTTTAGGGTAATCATTGATTAATGGATGTAAGTGTGGCTATTGGAAGTTTGAAGGCCACTTGGTCTTGAATGTGATAGACTATTGTGTGTACAAGAAAAGGTTCATGGCAGAGTATATGAATAAAACAAAAGTAGAAGAATAAGGAAGGAGTCTGCAGACTTTAACAGATTCTACTGTTGAAGGGCATACTCTTGTTTCAAGCAAGTTACACATATTATATTCCTAGACTAATATAAGTCAGTGAATAACTTGGATTCACTCGATCAAAAGTGAAGGATTTGTTACTATTCAGAGCAGTTGTCTTATTCGTACCTCCCAGTGTGAAGTATTGAAAATGTGCTTTGTTCAACCCTTCTCATTTCACTGTTTTCATTGTTCAACCCATGGGTGAGTGCAGAGGTTTCGAGTCTTTTGTGCTTCAAGCTCACAAATTTGTGATGGTATAAAGCTTCTTTTGGAACCAAGTGTGGTTTTAGAAAACTGTGGACTGGAAAAGTGGGATTTAGAGTATTTCTCCATCTCAGGGGAAGAATATGAGTCATTGATACATATTTTTAAGTAGTCACTAGAGTGGCCAGTAGAACAGATAGGACCATTTCAGCATTTATTCACTCTGGGAATCCTTTAACACTTTTATGCCACAACAACATTGAGCAAAAATGCTGGAAGATATTTAAATCATTTTGCCATGTATGCTTATTGCTTATATTGCTAAAGCTGATATAATCCTTATTCTGTGGCTCAGTATCTAGCCCTCTGAGGCTGAGGGAAGTGAAGAGAAATTGAAGACTTGGGCTAAAACCTTATTGGTGAGTGTTCATTGGGAAGATTTAAATGCAAGAGTTGAAAGAAGCAAAGCAAGAATATTTGAAAAAAAGTTATCTACTTTTTTTAGGGCCGGCCCATGGCTCACTTGGGAGAGTGGGGTGCTGATAATACCAAGGCCATGGGTTTGGATCCCTATATAGGGATGGCCGTTTAGCTCAAGGGTTAAGATCCCATTACCGGTCATCTTTTGTTTAAAAAAAAAAAAAAAAATATATAATATATATATATGACATTTTTTTTAAAGTAAAAGGAAAGAATTCTTTCTTAGTGAAGCTATCGTTCCTCAATGTGAACATGCTTGTTCATATTTATATACTGTAGCCAGGAACATACATATAAACTCATCAAGCTTATTTCTCTTCTTTCTTTACTACTGTATGAGAGGAAGTCATTGATAGCAGGGAACTAGTCAAAATAATGTCAGGAGGCAGTTCCTTGAAAAGCCTTCTACTCAGAATTCTAGTCCTAGCTCAGCCACTTAATAAGCTACATGATTTTGGGAAAGATTTTGAACCTCTTTTTATGCATTTGTAAAAAGTATTGAAAATACCTATTAGGCTTGCTTTATAAGGTTATTTTGGAAGATCAAATGAAGTAATATAAATGGAGTTTGTAAACTAAAAAGCTATATATGGACACAGTCATTATTGATTGATAGTAGTAGTAAACATCTAAGTTCCCTAAGCGAGGAATAACTTATTCTTTGTATCTAGTATAGAAGATACTCTGGCTGGGGTGTGGTGGGGTGGAGGAATAGTGAGAAGTTGGTTAATGGACACAAAATTACAGCTAGATGGGAAAAAATAAGTTCTATTGGTGTACAATTGAGCCAGCATCTATAATTAGAAATAATTTCCTGAATGTTATCAAATGACTAGAAGAGATCAAATGTTAACATCACAAAGAAATGATTAAGTTTTGCAATGATGAATATGCTAATTATCCTTATATGATGGTCATGCATTGTATACATGTGTTGAAATATAACTGTACCCCATAAATATCTACAATTAATATGTTTCAATAAAAACCCAAAACTTTGGCTGTCTATTGGGGGGAAATTTCTATCATAATGACATATTCTTTGTTCTGTAGAATAAATTTTTCTTGAATATGATGTGTACACTATATCCAAATAGTACGCAAGCATAACTAGCTAGAAGAGTAGTTTCTTTGAAAGAAATCTTGCCTTTTCATTGAATATCATCTGAGAATGTCCTAAAAAATTTCTATAGTAATGATATGATTCCCCGTGGTACTGACAGTGTTAGCTTCTGGCTAGGCCCTGTGTGTTTTTATAAGGGGAGAAGCTCTCAGTCACAGTTAAAGACACCAACTTATTGTCTCCCCTTGGTGGTCCTCATCCTCCTTCCTTTTTTCAATCTCAGGATGCTCAGACCTTGGTTGCACCTCCTAAATCTTGTTCTTTTCTGGTCTTTAGTGTTTACACTGGTGGTGCTTACTGTTGACCTTTGTCTGTATAAGTTTGAAAATATACCTCATATTTGAACTTAAGTTTCTATGGAATGATGTCCTATTCATTTTATGAGTTAAAATTTCTGTGAAACTAATCTGCCTTTTGAGGAATACTTTTAGCAATATTTCCCTTCTTGGATTTCTCTTTAGGCTATAATAATTCAGAGTTAGGATGGTCTATATTTACTGTGTACTATGATGTCCTATTCATTTTATGAGTTAAAATTTCTGTGAAACTAATCTGCCTTTTGAGGAATACTTTTAGCAATATTTCCCTCCTTGGATTTCTCTTTAGGCTATAATAATTCAGAGTTAGGATGGTCTATATTTACTGTGTACTCATACAGTTGTTTACCAACCCCTCTTTAATGTGTAAGTGATGAAAATTTTGCCATTCAATATCTAAACAACTGATAGATGCTTATACTATATATACTTTATCTGCTGTAGAAAATTGTGGTCATTGAAAGTTATAGATCCAAGAATTAGGAGGGAAGGGTATCAGAATGTAGCTAATACCTTTGCCTAATGGTATTTTCATTTTTATTCTTTTAGGTAAGCAGAATTTTATATAGTTTCTGTACAGCATTCAAACGTTCTTCCAGACAAGTGTCTGATGTTAGAGACTCGATTATTCCTACCCCTGACAGTGATGTGTTTACCTTCAGTGTCTCCTTGGAGGTAAAAGAAGATGATGGAAAAGGAAACTTTAGGTGAGGTTATTTGAAAAGAATAAAAATTAGCATTGTGCTTGAAATATAATTTTGTCCAATATGAAGTTTCTAGACGTTATACAATGTTGGCGTAAAGCTTTAAATTGATAAAAAAAATTTGGCTGAATGAGTATGTTTCACTGTTCTCATGTTTTTCAGATATTTAAATGATTTTCTTAATGATTTAAAATATACTGATATTTATGATAGAAAATTTAGTGAAATAATAAAAGTAGAATAAAAAGCTATAATCATATGAGCCACAAACAATCACTTTTAACATTTGGTTTATTCCTTTTGTTTGTTTCTAGAGGAACTTTTGCACAATTTTATATACAATTTTTTTCTCTTAACTTTATAAGAATTTTTTCATTAAAATGTGCTTTATCAGTCACTTCTAATAGTTACTGGTAGTATCTTATATGGTTTGACCATCATTTAATTAATCATTTCCTTCTATTGTACATTTAGAATGCTTTTTTCCAGTTCAGAGATAAGCAGTCTGTAGGAAACAGTTACACTCTTTAATGATCACCTATGTGCCTTATTCTACTTTCTTTTTTTTCCTCTGCCTTTAATTCTAACAATCATTAGGTGTGTATTTTTCTGTATTTTACAGATATTGAAATTGAGTTTCAGATGAAATAAGTTGCTCAGGGTATATTTCCTTTCCAGATAAAAACCCATATTTTAAACATTTATTGTTTTAATAAGTTAATTCAGAAGAATAGTCAGTTTGGCCTAAACTAGAAATTGATTAACTTGCCCCTGATCTATATCTCTTTGTCTGTCTTTATATTTACTTGAGTATGTAACAGTCATCTGAAATTCTAAGTGTGTGATACTAAGCTCTTCTCACTTTTATTTATTTAATTTTTAAATTTTAACTTCTCAATATGTATTGTAGTTGATTTTCGTGACCCTTTTCTTCTCACTTTCTTTGCCTTGGGTTCTACTGTGTTACAGGCACTCTTGACCACCCACCCAATTAAACTAGAAGTATGATAGTCTTAAAAAAAATTGAATAAGCTGTGTTTCTAAATTTGTTAAATTTAAAAACTAAAATTTGACATTATATCATGTCATTTTTAAGATCTTGGTTTTAACCTTGGTTAGGAGATAAAAATAAGGCAAAATATAAGAATTTATATTAATATTATATAAGAATTTATATTTAATAATATAATATATATTCTTATATATATAATATACATTTTTATATAAGAATTTATATTTATAAAATATAAGATTTATATTAATTGGATTTAATTTATATTTAATATAATTTATATTAATTTATATTAATTGGATTTCTCCAACTAAATTTAGATTTAAAAATTAATATAAATCCTGTTTAGCTGACTATATAATTTATAGTTTGCTACCTGTGGCAAGGTGAGAGTTCAGTACATCTTAAGAATAAGAATGTTGTTGCTTAAATACTTTGTTGTCTCCTAACCTTGAAATAGGTTATCTTACCTTTTTATTATATTGTTGTATTGGTGATTATTATTATTTGAGAGTTCAGTACATCTTAAGAATAAGAATGTTGTTGCTTAAATACTTTGTTGTCTCCTTCTAACCTTGAAATAGGTTATCTTACCTTTTTATTATATTGTTGTATTGGTGATTATTATTATTTTTGAATATTTCAGTCCTGTGCCTAAGGACAGAGATAAGTTTTATTTCAAGTTGAAGCAAGGAATAGAGAAGAAGGTTGTGGTTACAGTGAAGCAACTTTCTAACAAAGAATTAGCTATTGAAAGGTAAGCAACTTGCTTCTGAATGCTACCAAAAACTTGTATTGATACTGCTGTTGTGTTTCAGGAGATATACTATCGAATTTCAGCTGTATTTTTTGCTGTGATTTCTCCAATTAAAAGTGAAAATGAGGATAATAATGGTTTCTCCACTTTAAGTTAGATGGAACTGGTTCATTGAAAATCTCAACTGATTGGGAAAAGAAACATGAAATGGCTGTATTTTTTCAGTAAAGCTGCTTCAACCCCATTTGTTTACATCCCTTCTTCCTTCTATTCCTTATTTACATATAGTGCATATATCTTAACTTTTCAGTCATTTTTGATTATTTTTCCATTTAGTTACTGGAGTTTCAGAAGCTTTGCAAAATAGGTGCATATCTCTAAAAGAAACAGATGCACACACATATACGACGGTAGTTTAAAAAGTTGATGGAAAGGGCCAGCCCGGTGGCACACTGGATAGTGCGCCGCTTGGGAAGCGCGGTGGCGCTCCCGCCCGAGGGTTCGGATCCCACATGCAGACCGGTTCCCACTCACTGGCTGAGCGAGGCACGGGAGCAACACCGAGGGTTGCGATCCCGTTGCCGGTCCCCGGTCCGGTACAGGGGCAACACTGAGGGTTGCGATCCGTTGCCGGACACGGAAAAAGACAAAAAGACAAAAAAAAAAAAAAGTTGATGGAAAGATTCGTATTTCTTTTTTGTTTGTTTTTGATCGGTAAGGGGATCGCAACCCTTGGCATGCTGTTCTCTGCACCACGCTGCGCGTGTTATCAATTCACAGGAAAGCTATTCAGAAATAAAACAAACTCTTGTAGGACAAGCAATACTGTAAACAAAGTCAATAACAAATGATAGTTCTAGAAAAAATATTTGTAATGCAGATGACAGATGAAGGGCTAATATGTGTAATATACATAAATTTCTTAATAGGCAAATCACAGGAAAGCTAGTCAGATGGCTAACAAATATATGTAAAGACATCCCCTTTCACAGGTAGATAGAGAAATGCAGATTAAAGTAACTGTAAGATATCAAATTGCAAAAATACATAGTGATGGTGGGGATATGGAGAAAAGGGTATTCTTATATTGTTAATAGAAATGTATATACCCTTTTCGAAAACCAATCGGTCAACATCTATAAAGATTAAAAAATATCTATAATTGGGCACATCAGTCTCATTCTGAGAAATCTATGAAAATAGATTCCTCAGATCTACTGGAAATAAAATAATAGAATCTACTGGAAATAAAAGTACCACTACCTAAGTACATATTTTTAAGGATGTTTGTTAATAACCGGCATTGTTTGTAGTGGCAAAAAAGTGGAAATGCAAATGCCTATTCACTTGGCTTCAAGGAGTGGGAGAAATCGGTGATGATCAAGAGAAAGAAAAGCTCCTTTATCAAGACTGCAGTATGCTGTGACCATTCCCTCCCTCTCTCCTCTATCTTCTCTAGACTGGGATAAGGGTGGGCGGCAATTGAGGTGCTGGTTGTTGGCTAACTCTGTCCCTCTCAAATCTAGGAGAAGGTGTCTGTCTCGCAGTTAATTTCAGCTTTCTTTAGAAGGCAGGGTATTTAGTTCCACTTTTTCCCATCTTTGGATCTTGCTGCCAGTATCCAGGTAGCAGAAAAAGTTCTATTCAGCATCTTGGTACAGAGATGCATGTATATGTTTTTATTTGTTTGTGAAATTTGGCCATATATAAAAACTACATTTCACCAGTTTTAAGACATATGTTTATGAAAACATATTTAAAATCTCTGAAATGGTGGTGTTTTGTATAGTTGATGTCATCTTATAATTGTGGTTGTCACCTTTTTTTTTCTTAGTGGTATAAAAATAATAGTCTTAAAATTGATGGTTTTTAAAACTGATGAAAAATAGCTGAAGATAAAGGTACTTTTCATGTTGAATATTGTAGTCCTAAAAGAATATGATTAGGGGCTGGCCCCGTGGCTCACTCGGGAGAATGCGGCGCTGGGAGCGCAGCGACGCTCCCGCTGTGGGTTCGGATCCTATATAGGAATGGCCAGTGCGCTCACTGGCTGAGTGGGGTGCGGGCAACACCAAGCCAAGGGTTGCGATTCCCTTACCGGTCATGAAAAAGACAAGACAAAAAAAAAATTTTTTTTTTCTTTCAACAATTAGAAATAATAATGTTATAAACTTTTTATTTAGAAGTAATTTCAAACTTAACAGAAGAGTTAAAAAAATTAGTACAGAGAATACCTGAATACTCTTTGCTCAAATTCACTTAGTGGTAACATTTTACCCCATTTGCTTTGCGCTTGCTTGCTCTCTCCCTCTCTCTCTCATGCTCTCTCTTCCTCTCCATTCATACTTAGTTGTTTTTCTGAACAATTTGAGTGTTACATACATCATAGCCCTTTACACCTAAATACTTCAGTGTATATTTCCTAAAAATAGGGATATCTCTTAGATAACCACGGTATACTTATCAACGTCAATGAATTTAGCATTCATATAATGCTTTTTATAGGGGTGCGGGCGACACCAAGCCAAGGGTTGCGATTCCCTTACCGGTCATGAAAAAGACAAGACAAAAAAAAAATTTTTTTTTTCTTTCAACAATTAGAAATAATAATGTTATAAACTTTTTATTTAGAAGTAATTTCAAACTTAACAGAAGAGTTAAAAAAATTAGTACAGAGAATACCTGAATACTCTTTGCTCAAATTCACTTAGTGGTAACATTTTACCCCATTTGCTTTGCGCTTGCTTGCTCTCTCCCTCTCTCTCTCATGCTCTCTCTTCCTCTCCATTCATACTTAGTTGTTTTTCTGAACAATTTGAGTGTTACATACATCATAGCCCTTTACACCTAAATACTTCAGTGTATATTTCCTAAAAATAGGGATATCTCTTAGATAACCACGGTATACTTATCAACGTCAATGAATTTAGCATTCATATAATGCTTTTTATCTAGCTTACCATTTGTCTTCCGATTTTGTTAGTTAACCTGATAACATTCTTTGCTGCCTCCAGTTCTCACTCTAGGATCAGATTTTAGTTGTCATATGTCTTTAGCTTTCTTTAATCTGGAACATTTCCACAGCCTTTCTTTGTCTCTTAAGACATGGACATTTTTGAAGAATACATCTTTTTTCTCTCTTTTTAATATAACATTGCTCATTTTGGGTTTGTTTAATATTTCCTTGTGATTAGATTCAGGTCATACATTGCTGCATAGGTGATGTGTATCCTTCACAAGGTATGGCATCTGGAGATGCTTGATAACCATCTGTCCTTTGCTGGTAATGTTTATTTTATTACTTGGTCAAGATGTCTGATTTCTTCACTGTGTAATTACTTTTTTTTCTCCCTTTCAAGTAGTAAGCAGTCTGTGAAGAGACACTTAAGACAACAAAAATATCCTGCTCCTCATCAGAATTTCATTCTTGATTTTGCATTCATTCGTGATTCTTGTCTGAGCCAGTCTTTACTATGATGACTACAAAATGATAATTGCCCAACTTCTACACACTCTCTACATTTACCAATCAGTCTTTGGCATTCTGATGTAAGCCAGAGCTTTCCCTTCTCTTCCATTTATTTATCTACTTCTGTTGGTATAGACTCCTGACATTCCACCCCTCCCCCCAACAGTGCTTTATAATTCACTATAGTACTTAATTATTTTGGTGTTTAAATTACCCCAAGATTGGACAGTGGGAATCCCTTCAAACCCTGTGTCCTTACGATGTGCCCCCATCATTATTTTGAGCACTTCCTTTATGGCATAATAAAAGCAGCTTTTGATTTAACAAGTCTGTAGTAACACAGGCAAAGAAATATTAGGTGTTGAGTAATTTAACTTTGAATAAATATTATTTTAAAATCTTGGAGTTTTATGATTAAATGGTACATTATACCTAAACTGTGCATGAGTATAAAGCAATCTTTCCTTTTTCCAATGAGAAAGTTCCAAGTCTGATTAACTTGAATATAGAAACTGTGATGAATACCAGTAAAATAGCTGAATGCCTAATTACAATATTTTCTTTGCTAACTTAAACATTTGCACATGTTTTAAAGATATATTACACAAAATGACAATTTAGAAATGTTACTTTTTGTCCAGTCTTATATTCAAAAAACAATTTTATTCAGACTCTCCCCAGTAATCTTTAATATCTGTGTCTTCATCACTATAGATAGTTTTGGGATAATTTTAAGGCATTTTTCTAGGCCACATTATCTCAATTTCTGCCTAAGTTGTTTGAGAGAAACTCCCCTTTGAATCATTGTATGTTACTATCAGATATTTTGCCTAAGACAAAAGTACCCCTTTGTGTACATTAGGACAGTTGTTTTTAAAATTAATTCCATACATAACCACTTACTATACTGCTTTTTAAAATTTATTTTATTTTTATTTTTATTTTTTTTCCTTTTTGTCTTTTTACGTGACCAGTAACGGGATCGCAACCCTCAGTATCGCGCCCGTACCGCGACCGGCAACGGGATCGCAACCCTCGGTGTCGTGTCCGCACTGTGCTCAACCAGTGAGTGGACCGGTCTCTATATGGGATCCGAACCCTCGGCAGGAGTGCTGCCGCGCTCCCAAGTGCCGCACTCTACCGAGTGCACCACCGGGCCGGCCCAATTTATTTTTTAATTGACAAATAAAAATTGTGTATATACATAACCACTTACTATACTGCTTTTTTAATTTATTTTTTAATTGACAAATAAAAATTGTGCATATTTGTTGTGTACAACATGTTGTTTTGAGATATGTATACATTGTAGAATGGGTAAATTATATTGCTTTCAATGTAGCGTCTTTTTGATGATAATATCTCACACTGCAACTATGGGTTCATATATCCAGCAATAATTACTAAATTCATGTTAAATTTCTTTGCTTCCTTTTTCACTCATTTTGTCAGATGATTATAGACACTCACATTAAGATTGACTGAGATTGCTTCAGCCTAGTGAGTCATCCCCAAATAATACTTTGTTCAG